CCAGCACCGTGTTACAGTCTCCCCTATATTTCTTATTTTTTCAGCTCCATGAAATCTCCGCCACCGCACTGAGAGCACTGCTAATTTTCGTAAAACACGCTCCACCACATCAAAGTGGCTCCCCAGCTTTAAGAGCTCTTAACTAATGATGCCGCGTCTGCAACGAGTAAAATGGATTTCTCTTGTCTTACCGCCAAAGGAAATAGAGACAAATGCGACATGTGGACGCGCCCGCCTCTAAAAACAGTCATGCATCAATTTGGGAGCAGGGGGTAAAAAAAATTGCAGGGGATGCTGTTTGTTCATTGCCATGGTTGGGTCTTTATCTGTTTATTTTGACTAGGTAATTGTGCCTGCAGTGCAGCGGGGCCTCGGCACTAAGCCACACAGGGATTAGGGAAATATGAGGGGGTGGGGGGTGGTGGAGGGGGTGGGTTCCACTGCATCTGTGACCTGCGGAGGAGAGGGCGGCAGCCGTGGTGCTGTCAGGGTCTCTAACACCCTCCTGTATCCACCCACACCCACCCACATGCGCCCAAACCCACCCAGCTACCTGATCTTCCTGCCACAGAGGGCATACATGTTCACATCCCTTTCCTCATCATGCTCCACCGGGCTCTGATTGGCCCACCCCTTGGCCTCCCTGCAACGACAAAACCAATAGTCTGTGTTGGAAGAAGATGGACTGGATCCTCCCCTCTTGTCGCCATGTTTTTCTTTTTTCTTTTTTTTGTATGGAGAGTGGAGGAGGGGGCATGGACATGGGGAGAGGATTAGGGGGCGGATTTAGCAACATTTCTCTTCTCCGGGGCTGTTTAGTTAACCCTTAAATGCCGCCAGCACCCGCCCCATCCCTCTCGCCACCAACCACCATAACCACCACACGCATACACACACACACATACACACTCATCCTCCTCCCTCCCCCACACTCCTCTCTGGGGCGGGTTCTTAAATCCTTTTGAAGTCCTAAGCGCTGCAGAAATCCATTGAGAGCCATGTATAATGGCTTTTAAGAGAGAGTGTTTAGCTGGATGCCGACCCTATGGCTTATGAACCGCTGGCGTTTTAATGGATCCCCCCTTTCCCTCCCCTCTTTTCCTCCCTTCACCGGCACTAAATCCAATGGATTGTCCCTCATTATCATTTAAATAAGCCTCTCTTTTTACTCAGAATGCTCCAAGTTGAATGAACTCTACATAGTAAGGCTAATTCCAAATGGCCTTGGCCTCCCACCACCTATGCACATATGCACTCACACACACACAAACACATGCATATACACACATATTTAAGTGCACTCACAACAAGCGCACACACACAGACAACAGACCACATTCTCACTGGAACACACTTTTGGCCCTTTTGTATCCACAGCTTTTGCCTTCTGTGCAGTTCGTCCTCCCCTCTCTTCTGGCCTCCTCCCTGGTCGCCGTAGTGAAGGGAGCAGAGAGGTTGAGCAGAGCGGGAATAGCCTTTTGATTCCCGCAGAGCCTGCTTTCCGGTTCACGGCGGGACTCCTCCCTAATCGTCACCACAGGAGCCGTCCTGCAAATCAGAGGGGCACACAGGCGTTGATGAGGGCTGAGGCCTAGAGCAGGTGTGGGAGAATGGATGAGGGGTTTTGGGAGGGTGCAAAACAAGTGAGGCAGTGGTGGTGAAGGTGTGGGGGAGGTAGTTTGGATTGAAGGTGGACCTATGGATGAAATTGGTCTAGCAGAAAAGTCCCCTCCAGAGACCAGGGGGGGAGAAATTGCCAATCTAGACAGAGGAATAAAAGAAGTGAAAAGTGGAAGTGGAGGGAGGGATTTGGAGATTGGTATTCGTGCTGGGCGCTGACAGACAGAGCCAGAGAACAGAACAAAACCCAGCTTTTTCTGTCTCCATCCTGCTCTTGTTCAGCGTTTAGAGGACTGCATTAGAAAACACAGGAGGAGTTTAAAGGGCCAAAACAGCTCGCTAAATGCATGAAGAGATATTTAAAGTATAAAAGACGCTAATATAACATAATGAAGAACGTTTGGTTTGGTTCCAGTGTGACGGACACCATTTTAATAAAAGATCCCTTAAGACTTGATAGACAACATTACATTTTTACAGTTTTTTTTTTTTAAGAGATTGTCTTTATAGTAAATATTTAGTGATGAACATGACATCATGTGTTTTGTCTGTGATGGATACGCATTAAAAATGATCTCCTCTTTTTATATGCACTATATCTGCGGATTAAATATTAAATATCAGCCGTAACCTAAAAATACCTGTTGATGCTCTTTCATAACTTTGACTTTCACTGCAAAGCAAATACTTGGACAATAAGATGGAATAAGAAGGAGAGAAGCCAACACCTTCGGCTAGCAGGGTACCTGAGCTGTTACTCACTTTCAAAAACAGTTCAAGGTGTGTTTTTATCATTTAATCTACTGATGCAAGTAATGGAATCACTCCCATGTGTCTATCAATGTCGGATGACTCTCTTGAAGGCACTGAAGCAAGGGAATTCAAACAAATAAATGGTGACACTTTATATTGATCTGCACTGCAATATATTAGCTGTATTACATAATCCACCAGAAGCATAAATAATTTACAAAATGTCAGCAGGCAAAGATTAAAAAATCTGCATCATTGCGCAGGTATCCCAGAGACTTTTTTATTAAAAAAAAAAGAATGCACAATTCACACTGTGCTTGAAATGCATTTACATAGCCATATAATGACTATTTTGCACCATTTTAATTATATTTTTTCCAAATAATTAAAGTTTTCCACAGTGTATTTCTATGATAACAATTAAGTCTCTCAGCAGGGTGTGAGTGATTGTTTTTAGAGCTAGTGCCGCTCAGCTACCCCCATGGTGGAGGCCAGAGTGTATGAGAGTGATGTGTGCGGGCGAAGGGTACATGGCGGGGCGGGTAAAAGGTTAACGTGAATATTGATATTAAAGCGGCACTGCTTCATCATGTCTGTGTCAGCGAGTGAAATGCTCCTTAAAGGTCATCCCTGTTCTCCTCTCTCTCCCTACAGAGTTCCACTCACTCGCTGTCAGGCCGTGGCTACTCGGTAAGTGGCATTTTCATGCTTCATAGCTTTACGGCAGAATTACAATCTCCAACGACCCGCTTTATGGCCCCGGCGCTCGACATTTTAATTATGTTAAATAGAGTAATGGAGAAATCATGATATTAGGAACATTAATTCTGGCTGACTGACTGATTAAATTGCGGGAAGGTGTCCTGCGCTACCTTGGCGAAAAGAGGCTCATTTTATTGGCATCGATCAGCGCTGGTCGCCAGTGCTGCAATTTGGCTGTCAGATTTTATGTCTTCCTCCACTGACTGTCAGTGGAGGATCCTTTTGCTCACATATATGACAATATGCCTAAAAGCCTTTTAAAAGCCTCCATATGTATGTAAAAAACTACCACCATAGAATGTATGTACATTCACACTTCTCAGGAAGATCCATAGCAGTTAAACATGTCATGATGATGATATGATTTGTTGGAAACGACTGTACATTAACAGGAGTGAGTTAGATGGTTTTTGTCATAGAACATGTGCTGTTCAAGGTAAATGTGTCAGAGAGGAATATTTAGCAATGCCTGGGAAATTGTCAACCCACTCCTTTCAAACATACACTATCTCTCAAATTGTCAGAGCAGGACTATTTTTATCCCTTGAAAGCATCTGTTGCCTTGCCCCAGTGCGTTTTCGAACCGTAAATTTGTGCTCTTTCCCTCCCATTGTTTCAATGATGTGTCTAGTCTCTGGGTAATAGAGACAGCGGTCGTCCTTTATGTCCTTTGCTTAAAGGGGAACTCATAAGAGGAACATTCTTTAAAGTGTGCTACTTTTAGCTGATGAGTGGCATATGGCAGTTCTTATTGCAACTTGGAAGCAATCATCCCAACAAACAAAACAACTATAAATGGTTTGTCATCGTTAATCTGCCTCAAAGGACTGCAGTTAAAGCGCTGAACAAAGCTTAACTTCAAAAGACCTTGATCTCTGTGCATTTTTTTTATTTTATTTTGTTTTAATAGAACATGTCACATTCCTATTCCCTAGCGGCCGCATACTCACAGATGGATAAAAACAAACAAGACCTTCCGAAAAAGCTTGTGGAGCCCTTTGGCTTGAGCTGTCAGTTTGAGTCGGCAGGGAAAGAGGCCTTCTCTTTATCTGAAAGGAGGAGGATTCAGAGAGAGAGGGCAGAAATGGAGGTGGAGGGGGCTCGGTGGTGTTAGTGTGGGGGCGGGGGTATTGTTCAAGCAAAGGAAAGTCCAGTAACGAGGGCAGGAAGTTTTACGTTGTCTGACTCCCCTCTCTGGCTATCCGATGGTGCTATCTGCAGCGTTTGTAGCCTCTGGGCACCTCCTGGGTGCTGAGCTCTGACTCTCAATCTGCTGTGCTGCCGGGCCCGCTTGATTTCTGGGGTCTCCTTATCTGTAAGTGCTTCAGGCTTTACAGTATGATGGTTTCGGGGGTGTGGGGTCGGGGGGCTCCAGGGAACTGGCAGGCAGAGGCTGAGTGGGTATGGGAGGAGGAGTAGGATGAGGAGAAGGCTAGGGGCTGGATAGAGCATTATGACTTGAGGAAGAGAGAGGCTATGTGGGTGGAGGGCTGCTTGTGAGGGGGTGTGGGAGGGTCAACGAGGCGGGCACAGAGGCGTAGGCAGCGCCACCAGCCACCAATGGCATGGACAGGACTGTCTGCTGGTTGGCCCCTGGCACTGATCGCCATCTACTGCTCTGCCTCACCACAAACACTCAAAATATCTAGCTGGTGAATGGGGGCTGGTTATCTGTCACAAGGCACTAAGAGGTAAAAAAGGCAATCTCTGACTGTTTGTTTTCTGCTTCTATGGGAGATAACGCCTCTTCTTGTTTATGCTTCCATATGCCTCTCTTCTTATGTTGCCTGCCAGGCTTAAATGGCCTCATTTGAATGGTTTACACAAGAATGTAAAGGAAGTTTCTGGGCTTTACTGCCAGACTCATGAAAAGGGGAAATTGGCACCCCCAGAGTGTTTTGGACACAGCAGATACCTTTATACTGTGTTAAAACAATTTGGCTGTCACATACAGAATGCATTGTCTGCTGGTTTTATTTATCTAAATGTGTTTTTGCACACAGAAATGCTGCATATACAGTACATAAACCGCACATATTCTGCAGAAACATAGCATGTCTACTCATCAGTCTATTAGACTTTGTGTCATCTCATTTTCTTTCTTTTATTATTTATTAAAGCTGTTAACTAAATGCTAGTTGAATCCAAATTTTCAAATATGTATAGTGCTTCCAATGTGTATCTATTGGATTCCAAACGCTATGGTGTAAGTGACATATATTTTCTGCTGGCTGGTGCAAATGTTTTTTTTTAATTAAATATACACATATATATATTTAAATTTAAAAGATTTTTCTTGCTAGTCTTGATGTTTGTTATATACAGCACATACAGTAATAGCAAAGTATCCCAGCATGTTAAGTGTCCCCACTTTTCCCGTGTCTCTCTATGGGTTGACAAATAAAAAGCAAAATTCTTTTTAAAAAAACAACAAAGCATAGAATTAATTCAGTTTATAGTCAGTCATCCATTAGAAAACTCTATTGGTAAAACGGTGATTGATTCCACAGTAAATATATTATGAATCCCTGAACCACCATGAAATGATACGATCATACCAGATGTTGTAAGCAGTGACTTACTGTTCTGATTGAATTAACTTTATTGCCACTACAACAAACATTGTTAGGAACTTGGCTTAGTGAATTTATATTGCAGGACAGATATGACAACATCCAACACAACATACTAATGCAACTGGTATATAAATAAAAAATATAGAAACACACAAAAAAGTGTTAGATTGTAATTCCATACCAATAACCTCTGTTCAACATACTGATTTTTCTTGGTAGGGTTAACAGCAAGCTACCCTAAGTTCCTTATTCATCTAAACATGATGTGTTTATCCAGGTGATGACATCACTAGACGTGAAATCACTTCCCACCACCTGCCCCCCACACCCACCCTCCATCCTCCATTCAGGTTTGAGGGCTAATCTCTGGACCGCTGAGTCCAGCAGCGATATGTAGCAGCAGTACTGAGACTCGCTATCTCGCTCTCTGTGGAAGACTGGAAATGGAATTGTTTATCAGGCCGACTCTCTCCTGTCTGCTTTGTGCAGGCTTCATTATAGCCTCTGCTATGTTTGGGAGACAATATCTGTGCCTTGTTTCCTGCGCTGCTACCTGCTTGTTGTTCCACTGGAGATGGGCCTGGGCTCTGGCGATTTATCATCCTCTCTGAGGGGCTCCTTGATAAAGAACCCAACATCCCCCTTTGTGCCTGGGAGATACGGACTGCAAGAGACGGGGGAAAATGTCAAAGAATCTGACTTAGAACTATCTGCCCATCCTGTCCCTACCCCTGGGCTCGATATACTGTATAGAGGAGGAGACGTTTTAGCTAAGCGAAAAAGACACACCTCCCTTTCCTTTCAGATGAAGTGATTGAGCTTCAGTCTCCCACCGCCCATCTTTTAAAACCACCCCAAGGCCAAGCTAAGGCTCATGTTTTCACGCATGATAAAAGCATAGAGCTTTGTCTGTGACAGTATAATCTGACTAGTCTGTTTTGGGAGGGTTTATCTCTGCAATGTCAGAGAGTAAAACCTTAGCCGAAGTGTTTGGGTTGAGCGAGAGTGCTCGGAGCTCTTAGACACACCCATTTTTCATTTCCCTGCTCGGGTTGTCATAATCATATTTAACGCTAAATGAGTCTACACTAAACAGAGCAGTCTCAGAGTCATTTGTGCATTCTTAAACAGCCTTGTTTAAATTGATTTGGCATTCATGACCTCCACATTGTGGCGAATATACTTCCCTGTCTGAGTGACGAGGCTTTTTACAAGATCTTTATCCAATACAAGGATTATGTCACTTAATTATAATAGAAGCCATTAAAAGCTTCACGCCTTATTTAACAAAACGACACAGATTCACTGGATTAAATGCTAAACACAGCGATTGAAACGAAATTGAGCGTAAATTATATCTTATACTAAGAATAATTTTTGCAGAAGATCTTTCCTTTTGGCCGTCACATAGAGTTTTAACAGAAAGCCTTGGCTTCCTCCTCTTCTGTGTACTATATAAAACCGCCTCTTTGTTCGCATCTCTGCAACTCTCTCACTGTCTATCACTCTGTCTGCCTCTCTCTGTCTCTTGTGTTCTGCTTACTTTTCAGTGGGGTGTGCAGGTGTCTCCATACCACCGGCTCTGCACATGGTGAAAATTAGTGAAGGAAACCAAGAGCCCAGCAGGAGTGGGCAGGGGCCCTGACATTGTCCTGGCCTTGGGGTGGGGCGCTGCCTGTCAGGGGCCTCTCTATGAGGGCTGTCCGCCTTGAAAAACCTATTTGTTTATCCCCGTGTGCGGTCCGGCTTCAGATCTTGGGCCCTGCTGCTCTTTGCGCACCAGGGACCTGGGCTGTTGCCGCTAGCAACAGATAAAAATTGCTGTTAACCACAGCAGGGCCCACAACACATCAATCAACGGTTCTGCAGATAAAGGCTGCAGGGTTCTGGGGCCCCGGCTGAATGGCATGGTTGAAAAACCTTTTCCAGTGGCTGAGCACACAGAGCTCTGGTGGTAGAGGCCTGCTATCATTCAGACTTGAGGAGGGAAACTCCATTTTCAGCAATGCAGCTCAGGTTTCGTTCTAATGCACCTCCATTAGAATGGCACCAACACAAAGGGGAATCTGGGAGAGGTCATTTGAATAAAAAGGCGACATTGTGAATTAGTGTTGACCAGGCCTCAGAAAAACCAGTCCCAGTATAGTTCACTTGTTCTAAATGAACTCTTAATTGCTTTTGCCACTTGGCTTTGCTCTTAAGGCTGCTTAAAAGGTGGGACGTTCAGCTTCACCGCGTTCCACATACCGCGTTTGTTAGGACTGAATTGAGATCAACGATTGGAAATGGCTGGGAGCTATACTCCAAAGGCCCAAATTGGCATTAGTACAAAATATTTTTTCATTAGAGGTG